AAAACAACTGGAGCGGGCGTTGTCTCAGAATAAATATTTACTCTTTCAGACTGCCAACTGCTCTTATGCTTTAAGCAAAGATGAATATTATCATTTATTTGATTCTTATCCAAGCATGGAAATAATGGACGGTGGAGAAGACCTAGCAGAAGAAGAAGAGGCAGATGATCAGAAACGTAAATATTCCAAATCGATAAAACGTTACGGAGAACGAAACACCGCCTCTTGGGTCTTGTTTGCCGATATAAAGTCCCTTATGAAGTACATGAACCAAAGAGCCTGCAATATGACTTGGAAGGAAGACCGCGAATATAAATTCATGGCAATGGAAATAATTTCTTTCAAAAAAGCCCCACAAAGTACATTTGTCCTGCAATTGCTCACAGGTATGCAGTCTTGTAATATGCAGGATGAACAAGAAACATCTATCTGTGCTCATAATGAGTCCATAGCTTGGTTAGAGCACTGTCTACCCATTTGGAGTAGATTAAATCGAAGAAACGCTGCTGGACGTTATCGCGGAATGGCTGTAACGAAATTGAAAAAATACGACATCGAAATTGATCAACGTCTTTGGTCCTTATGGGGTAATTTACATCCTCAGGCTCCTGTTTTCGGGGTTTCCACTAGAGGCAAACAATATCTGGCATGCTGTGTCATGTCCTTGTGTGCCGCCTACCTTTACCGGCTGGTCGATTGGAGTCCCCAACTATTAGACTCGATAATTGTCAATGGTGATTGTTATATGCAGCAGAGTATACAAGATATTAAATGTGAAGATTATCAGTTTGCTTTGGAAAATCTTGAGGCTGAATGCCTGCTGGACAGTGTGAAATTTGACGTTCACATAGAAATGGTAGCATACGGCAAGCTGTACAGTCGTCCCCATTACAACCGTATGAATTTAGCCGAAGCTCTAATATATTTCTTTAACCATTTCCAATGTGGCATACTGCAGTCTTTTAAGAAATGCTTAGCTATTGGCTATATGCCTGGTCGTGATGGTGGTTATTTTATGTTCGACTGTCAAAGTCATGATCATCCACTGTTTCCCAACGGTCAAGGTGCCTCGTACATTTTACGTACTAAATATTTGCAAATTTTATTGTATTGCATCGTCGTTACCCTTAATATTCCCTACTATAATGTTCAATTCACTTTGCACAAGGTTGACTTGGTAATCAAGGATCAGGAAGACGATGAAGGAGATGAATAAATGTTTGATTTTTTAAGATTTAAGGGAAATTTATTAAGAGGTTTGTCATAGTGCTTCTTATTCTAGGTATAATTATATGTATATATTTTGGTTTGTTGTAATATTTCAAAGAGATATTAATAAAAATTTAATTAAACATTCGAAAGCATTGTAAATCTGAAGCAAGGTCCTTGCTGATTATGTAATAAAGCATTTTCAAAAGCTTTGTATAATAAAGCTTTTTCAAAAGTTTCTATGAGAAAGCATTTTCAAAAGTTTTTAAAAGCTTAATATAATAAATTGACAACTCTACCTAAGTTTTAGAATTAAAAAGAAATCGTTGAATTTGCGATGAAATTTTAACAATTTAAAATAACAAATTTTATTTAAATAACAACTGTTTTTCTAACATTCTAATGGCGATAGCGATAACGTCTCAAATCATCATCAGATGTTTTATAATGATAACCATCTTCGCGTAAAACATGAGCGGGCTCTACTGGAGCAATTGGCTGCTGTTGCGGATCCAAAGCAATCATTTGCTGTTGCTCCATTTCGGAAATTGCATCCATCATTTCTTGCATTTCTTGTTCGCGATACATCTGTTGTTTGTGCTGTTCTTGCATTAATTGTTCCTGGTACTCCTGATATGTAAGCTGGGGCATGGGTTCCGGAGGTGGTAACATCATGCCTAAAGGAGGAAGATATTGATTTTGTGGCATCATTTGCATGGGTGGTAGATAGCGATTTTCAGGTACTGTTTCGGATTCGGGTGGAGAAGTAGTTGTTTCGAAAGATTCTTGTTCTTGGGCTGGCATTTCAGTGGTGGTCATAGAATAATTATTTATATTCTGTTCGGTTGTGTATTGTTGTTCAGTAGTTGTTTCTTCTTCCAAAGAAGGGCTGTTGGTAGTGGTGGGCGGCAAAGTGGTGGTTGTTGGCGTTACATCTGTGGTAGTTATTTCTTTCATAACAGGTGGAAAATATGTTCGCATGGGCATTTCATAGGGTACTTGAGGTGGCTGTAGGTTTTCAATTTCTTGTGTTGGTGGCAAATAACGGGTTCTTATTTCGGGTACATGTTCATTGTTTTTAGAAAGCATTTTTACATCCACGGATTGTGATTGTACACCATAGATGGGTTGTCCCTCTTTGATGATTTCAATTTGTGTTGGTAATTCAATCACTTCATGTTTTTCTATTGTTGTTTCAACACGTTCATTAGAGGGCCTACTATTATGATGGATTGACATTTGTAGACCTTCGGGATGGTGGTGGTGTTGATGATACTGCTGATAATTTGGCGGCAAATAGTGACTGCTCAAATGGGACACATCTGCTGATGCAACAGCCATTAGAATGGCTAATGTTACTAGAGAAGATTTCTTTAAAAAAGTTAAATTTTATTACAGAAATTATTATTTTGATTATTTGAAAATGAAACAAAATTAATATAGAGAAGTGTTAAAACCCGATTTTATTCAATGAATGTTTTTTGCACAAATCACAGGAGTAAATCGGTAATAAAGACTTTTATATATAGGCATATTTACGCATATTTGCCAGATTCTCAATTCAGAATTCTTTGTCAAAATATGCCTTAAAAAGCAGTAGAGTTGACCAAATTATTAAATGAAATAATGATGTAAAATGATTTCGTGGATGGGTATTGGCGAAGATTTCATTAATTAGAAAAAAATTTCCAATATCTATTCGGAACATTGGTATTCAGAGTCATTTTCTTTTAATTATAGTTTATATCGTTAACACTTACCATATTTTATTAAATAAATAATTTATAAATAGATGAATTGTGCGTTTAAAATGATTTGACTACTTAAGACTATGAACTGTAAAACGAAACTGATAAATGACCAAGAACCTCAAAACTTATTTATACCAAGTTATAATCAAATATTTATTTAAGTAAAAAAGTAAATAAAAAATGAATGAATTGAAAAAGCAACAAATAACTGGTCGATAGACAATTAGAAAAAATTAAGACCTTCAAAGTTTAAGCATCCAGCCCATCTGAAGAAAATAACGATCTTAGTATATAAAAAAATCTTGAAAAAATCTACTTAAACTTCTTAAGTATTGCAATACGAAAATATTGTATGACCAATACTGAAAAAAATATTTATTAAGCTTTTATTTAACTAAAAGAATAAAATAAAACTTTGCAGTACAAATAGTAAATTTATTTTTTATATTTGTATTAAAAAGTATTAAATAAAAACTAACAATAATTGTGTATTCAATTTTAATGTCAAGTTGTATTATGATGTTTAGGCCAAAATCTCCCCCCACTATTTATTTTTATTAATTGCTGTGTCATCCGTATAATAAACCATTATCATTATATGTATTAATCATCCAATTTTGTTCGCTCTACCAAACCTCACACTACTGATCTCAATTTGAGGTTCATTCATCCATTATAATGATGATACAAACATACATTGGTATGTATGTAAAAGATTGTCTGATTTTAACCACATATGTAAATCTATTGTCAATTAGTTTTTTATCTATCTACCAGTAGGTCGAAATTAAAAACAATTTTTTAAACTTTTTAAATGATGCGTTAATTACACGCATACTTTATTTTGTGGTACATATTGAAAATGGCTTGTGGCATTTGTAATTTGTATCTGTGACCATTATTTGAATTTATGTTTATAACTTTAAAGGTATTTTAAGTTTTAGGGCATCTTTGTAACAATTTTATATATTTAAAAATAAATTTTATTTTTTGTAATAATCCTGAAGAATCTAATTATCTCAATATTGATCGATTACACTGTGAGACAAAAGAAACTAAAATTGAAATACCTGGAAAGTGATACTATTTATCTGATAGGTATTATCGAGTACAACAAGAATCAGTTTTTTAAATTTGCCAAACACTTCCAAAATCTTGAGATACGAGTAAAAACTATTTTAAGTACCTTTAAGTCAGTGTAAGTTCACCCAAATACTTGCAATGATCTTCCAGAGAAGTCCTACCCAAAACTCGTACCCAATATTAGAAAAGTTAAAGTCTGTCACTTCGCATAAAGTGACCTTAAAGTTTTTTTTTTTAATTGATGACATGTTTTGTAGGGTATATATAAGATTCGCCATAACCTGTAAAAACTTATTAACTCTGTAATATTTAATTTTATTTTTATGACAATTTTAAGCATCACTCTTTACATTTGGACAAGGTACGAACAGATTTAATTTTGTAGGCTCCGAATTGATTTGAGGTGGTTTATTGAACGATCATTGTTAAATACTAAACTTCTTAAAATTAGAGCATTTTGCATGCTTAAGGCAAGGCTGTTTTTAAATGACTTTAAGCGATAATTTTTAGAAATACATATTTGAATGTACGAATGATTTTTTAATAAATGTTTAGTAAATATTTATTAACGAAGGCTACACTTTTAGTTAACTTATGAGTGCTTTGAGTACACTTCAATGTATATTTTATTTAAAAAAAAAACATTAAATTTGTTAAATAGTTTTGTTATGTTGTCTGGAAAACAAAAAGTAAACAAAACGCTCCTAATTGAATTAAATGTGTATAAAATAGAGAAACACCTTGTTTAAAAAGTACCAGTTGGTGACAACGTGTCTAGTGCTAAAGACACTTTCGAATGAATAGCAAAGTTATGTATTTATTATTAATAATAAATTATTTTATTAATATAAATTGCTGTTAATATTTGTACCATAAACTTTGAATAATTCGGAGATAATATATCGATACTGAAACCCTAAAAATGTTCCAACACTTGAAGCAAAATGTCAAAACATTCATAGAAATATTTCAAATCATTAAAGGGATATTTTATAATTATTACAAATTTTTTTCATAACATTTGAAGCAAATTTAAATATTTCAAATTATTTAGGCAAATAAAAATTTACAACGTTTTTCAACAACAATCAATAAATTCCTAACACCATTTATTTTTGTGCAATTTTATAAAATTTTGATCAATTTTTGTGAAAATTGGTTTGAAGGAAAAAAAAAAGAACTAAGAAATAAAGATGGATTGTTCAAATTGTAAAATAAATAAAATTTCACCTGAAATAAATCCATTTGGTGGCTACTTCTGCAGCAATGAACATATGCAGTGCAATGAATGTAATACCTCCTCGAAAGGGCATTGTGGTCTTTGTAATGCTAGTACAAAGTTTGTACAAATGAATTTTAAATCCTCAGACGAACCACTACCCGCTACACCACAGTCAAGTATATTTTCGAAAGATCAACCGATACGTAGTGCTTTGTCAAAGCAAATGCTCGATGAAATAGAAACACAGTCCAGAATATCGAAGGAACACTTAATTTTAAAAGATTCTCGAGAGTACATGCATCAGAATGCAAAGGAAAACGACTCGAAAGAGACAAATGGAATGGAAACTTTATTTGTAGGTACTCCAGCAGAAAATTCAGCGTCTCTTATAGGCAACTCAAATCATGAAGATGTCGGAAAGAACTTCAATGGTTTAAAAATTAAAAATAAAAAATCCATAAATGATTCCTCGAACAAATTGGAGATGACGCGGGAAAATGTATTTTGTTTTGAAGACGTAAGTTTAAATTTAAATATTTTTATAACCATCTTAAAGTATACCAATCGTCTTAGCATCATTTACTGATTCTGATTTAATTTTATACACATAGTTGGCCCGAATGTACTTTATGATTACTTAAATTTCTTAATAAATGTCTACAATAAATATTTTTCCAGGATCCCAATGATACTTATATACCAACATCTGAAATTCGTTTTATGGATTCTACTGAAAGTTTTCAAAATTTCTATACCAAACAAAAAACCGACGAACTGGCTTGTGTATTAAGGAACAATGACCAACAACCGAATTCCCTTTCTTTGAAAGTTCTAAGTAATTTTGAAACTAAGGATTCAGTTGATAAAACAGAAATTGTTATGAATTATTTAGAAAGTTGTTGTACAACATCATATCACCAGTCACCACTCTACAACTGTCAACATTCTCATTGTCAGTTTGGTTGGCAACCAAATAATCAAAAAATGAAAGCAGCAATGAAAACCGTTAGTGTATCAACCGATTCGGATCCCAGCCTAAAATCAACATGTTTTGATACAACAGAAGCTAGCTTGGTCGCAAAATTTAAACCACGTGATTTTTTTATTATGCAAGCAATGGGAGTTCCTCCTCCTATAAGGAGTACAGCTAATTTGCCATTAGAAAAGTATGGTAAACCTTGTATGGATACAGTAAGAATGCAAAAAATTCTGGAAACTTTTAAAGAGGATCTAAATACAACAAAATTTACCGAAATGTCGAATTTCATTAAACTTTCAGGACAAATTCCAATGAAGCAACAACAAGAGAAGAAAGATGCTGAAACACAAAGTTTAAAAAAGGAAGATAAAAACTCTATTTTAGTTGCAAAATTAATAAATGCACATAGAGCTGTTTATAGTCCTCCAAATCCCCCAACAGATCCAGTTAATAATTTACACTTGCTATCACAACCGCAATCTCCTCAACAAGAACCCCCTTTGCCACAGTTTCAAACACTGCCCTGTTCTTCCGCTTTTGCTCAAGAACTTCTTCAAAATCCAAAAAGGAGTTTAAGTCTTAAACCGGTTCCAGCTTGTGTGCTCAACATACCACGCCAACCGATACAATGTCCAGAATCAAATTGTCTTAAAATGATATTTGTATCGGATTTCAATAAACATTTGGTCGTCGATCACAACCATCTGCCCATGGAGCGCATAATACCCTATCAGTGCAAAAATTTCTTTTTGGATGCACGTTTGGCTCACTGTGGCACTAGTAAATGCCATTTATTGTATTTAATGCAGAATAAAATTACCGATTTGGGAAGCAGTGAATATAAGGACTTTCTTCCCATTTTGGTCATGACCACACGCATTTCCCTTAATGAAATGTGTGGTTTAAAAGATGGAGCATCAACCATGGAATTTTTCCTCATATGGATTACGGGAATTGCACCTGAAGAGTTTCCCGTATATGTATCGCTAACTATTTGGTGTAGATCTGGCAGGGTGCCTTTGTGCCATACTGTATATTCAGGAAAAATATATTCTATTCGGGAATCTCAACGGGCCTTTGATGTTTGGCAAAGTGGCCGTATGGTTTTATTATCCAGCCAAGAAATAGATGCGTTAACTAGTGGTGGCAAGGAGATGTTAAATTTACAACTGAGTGTTCACTGATTTAAAGAGTAAAGGGTATCTGCTGTAATCTAAAAACTATTTTAAAGTCTTGGAATTTTGTAATTTGTAATGTTTATATTTTTATAATTTATACAAATATGTACGTATATATTATAATTGCTTTCCATAAAAAATTATATTTGATTACAAAATCTTTTACTGATTTTAGATTAGAATTTTAAGGCAAAGGAACTAAAGTTTACTACTTTACGCTAATTAGAACATCTCCATCACATCCGATAACTAACTACTAACCGCAAATTAAAAAAAAGAATTTGTTAAACTTCAAAGGAAATAGAAGGTATATATTCTCAGAAAATAGAAGGTATATCCAAATAATTTACTAGATGTAAGAAAACTATGTATGATTTCTGAGTTAAAATTTTGAACTTAAAAATTTGTTGGTCTGTGTTATAAAAGCAGTTTTAGGATTTACTGTATCTTTTTTATTTCTTATAATAGTCACGAAATGAATTATATAAACATGTTGGCTTTTTTAACTTAGAACTTGAAAATCTTCAATTTATCATTCAACGATTTAAAAAATAAAATGTTTACTTAATTTTAATTTTGTTAATACTGTGTGGTGAAATTATATTTTATGCCTAAAAGTATGCAAAAGAATTTATGAGATTATGTTGAACCAATCAATGAAATGCAAAAAAAAAAAAACGTTCGCTTTATTATTTCTTTTAAATCAATTTCATTTAATATTATTTTTTAAATTTATTTTTTCTCACTGTATTTCAGAATACAAATGTGACACAAATATTTTCTTTTACAACATAAATTTGTTAGAAATTTTGCTAAACAAAATTAGAAGTTTTTTTAATTATTATCCAAAAAAATAATTTTGAAATTGTTACAAAATGTCCAACGGTGCTTTACCCAAACAACAAGCATCATGTTCATCTTTAAGCGGTCATTTGAATACACAAAATTCAAGTAGTGAACTGTTTGAATTGAAACCCAAACCAAAATTATTTTGTATTCCAGAAAATTGCACAAGATTTTTGAATGATTTGAGGTAAATTACCACTATCTTAAAAAAAGACTTAATATTAAAATTCTTATTTTGCTTTAAGGAAAACACAATCATTAAATGTTCATAAAAAAGTGGAACATCCTGAGAAATCTTGGTCAGTCTTATATTTTGGCTCCAAGAGTTATGATGATGAAAAGAAAAGGTTTATGATGTGATAAAGAAATCAAATGTTTAAAATGAAATTTTCTGTTTTAAATTTGCAATCTATATATTCATTTTTATTAAATATCTATAACATCTAAAATATTTTTTAAAATTGATCAATCTGTACCTCTAGATGTTACATTGTATACCACCGAGGTAGCCACATACAAAACTATTAGCTTTAAAAATGTTCTTTTAAATAAACTCAAGTGAAATTTTTTCTTAGGTTTTAAGTTAGATTGTGTCAAATTGTATCCGGAAGTATTAAAGGATTTCCTGAAGATAAAAAGTATTAAGGTTTTATAAGATAATTAAAAATTATTAATCATTTTTACCTTAATTTTTTCAATAAATCAAATTCCATAATGTGTTATTTGTAAAATAAGTTTTTCTCGATGAATATTTTTTTTTTTTTGTTAAAGTTTTTTTTTTTTAATTTTGTATAAAGTGTCACAATGACAGTGTGGAGAGATTTGCCAAACTATTGAAATTAGATCAGGGTTTTCGAGAATGCAATCTTTTATTTTTGTCCAAGCTTCACCAATTAGTTTTTATATTAAAAATTTAGAAATCAATTTTTGTTCTTTAAAAATGCTAATCCCCATTATATAGTTTATTTAAAAAATTAAATGAAATCATTTTTTTTTCTTCTAAATAAAAAAATCTTTTTTGTAACTAGATCTAAGAAGAAACTAAAAAGTAACAATTATTTTTATACAAAATAAAATATTATTAATTTATGGCACCATTTGTTTAATTAGCCAACTCAATAAATAATTAAGAGATTTTTTTGTTGATTTGCTTAGAAAAATTCAAAACAATTTCTAAGAAATTGAGACAGTCATTTTAACACTGGTCACCCACCAATGGCGAATAATGGACGCAGCTGTATGTTCTTGTAAATTGTTAGAAAATCGAACATAAATGAACAATAAATATAGAACACAATCTTAAAAATAAATTAATAGCAATTTAATAAATTGTGTAAATCATAAAAAATTTAAATATTGACACCAGCGGAATATAAAAACCACCACAAGCATTGCCAATAAAAATCTAGAGAGAAAATAATAAAACTATTGCTAACAATAAGGCGAATGAGGCGTATGAGTAATTAAAACCAGCAAAAAAAATTATAGATTCCACCAATAATAATTAAGATTTACATACAGAAATGTGTATGTACTTACATGGCGATGATTATGATGATGATGATGCTGTCGAGGCTGATGATGTAGTCAATGGCTGTTCTGTGGTCAGTTTACTATAAAAAAATGCAAATAAAATATAAATTAGAGGGAGTGTAACAAATTAATAATTAGTTTAAACAAATTCATTTTACTCTATATGAATGTGTTTGTCATCATTTAAAAATAGTCTTTTTTATTATTGATTTATAAAGTGAAAAATATTTTTTTTTTCTATATTTGAAAACTTTTAAACAAATCAAGATAATAAAAATCAAATAAATTATATCAGTTGTCAATATAGATTAAAAGTAAATTGTATTCTATGTCATGGTAGAAATATTTTTCTACCATGTTCTATGTAGTCGATTGTTAATAACAGTTTATATTTCCCATTAAAAACTTACATACATTGAAAAGTAACATTTTAAGTCATTATTTTAACATGGTGATGACACTGGAGGCAAGTCCTTACTACGCATGCCAACAAGTAGGTAGTTAGATTTACTACGATCACCTGCAAAAAAAAGGTTAAATTAGTAGTTTTGTTTTTAATAAAATTGTACATACACAGAAAAAATTAATTTTAAAAAATTTTCAATTAAACGATTAATCAAAAATTTTAAAAGGCTTCAATTCATTTTGTATTTGATTCATAAAAATGTATAATCAAATACGTATTTAACAACAACAAAAATAGAAAATTATAAAAATTTTGTGTACGAAATCAATTATAAGTAGTAATTGAATATACAATTTTTGTTATAGGTTGAACTTCAAAAAATAAAATAATTGAAAACGAGGTTTTGGTAATTGAAATCGTTTTTCAGTTTTTTCTGTGTATAGATATTATTTTTTTTGAAATTATGATTGTTTATGTAGTCTTTATTATTGATGAGTTTTGACATTGTTCTTTAAAATATTGAACAGGTCAAGTAATTTCTGTTTAGAAAATAGAAGTATGTAGTTGGGTAATATGTTTTTTTTAATCGAAACCATACATTTTTCTCTATATTTAAAAAATTTAACGATATCCGTTCTACAAAAAGCATAACCACACCATTTAAATATCGTCAAGTTGGTATGAAATGAAGAAGTATGTAGTATTATTGCGTAGAATATATATAAGTCATATTTGGCCCCAGGGATTGGTTTTGAATTTGTAAAAAATAATAAGAAGAAGACTCAATATTTTTTAATAAACTCAATAATTTTTACGAAATTTGCAATGAGTTGAAAATTTTTAAAATATGGTGATGTTTAAAAATTTAATTTCAAATTGTTTTCGTATGTAATTCCTTCATTCAATTTCAATTTTCTTAAAAAACACCATATATGTAATTGGTTTTAAAAAACTAAATTAACTAAAGACATTTCTCAAAAAACACCAACAAACGAAATAATCAAACAATTTTCAAATACAAAACCAACGCAATAGATCAAAGTGGAAAATATCTCTAGCCAAATGTACAAATTGCCATTTAAGACAAAATTCACTTTAGAAGAAGAGACTCCCTCTTGACGTCATGGGTGGTCAAACAAAACAAAAATATCAAAAAATATAACGAGCAGCTATATTTTTCGCCATAGAAACTATTGAACTAATCGAATATTCTTACACTTATTGGTAGATTTAGCATAAAGAAAAATCATTTATAATAATTCAAATAAATATTGACTGGAAGATTGTTGAACAAATCTTGTACATGGTAGACTTAATACTTCAATACATGTGTGATTCAAAATTTAAAATTGTTTATTTTATAGCCAAAACTTTGTTAATTGTGTTTTATTTAAAAAAAAATCTTTAGTTTATTGACAAGACGTTGTCAACCATTTTTCACTCATCATCTTTACTTTAAATTCAAATTTTGTGATGCAAATTGTATTTTGCTGTTTTCTGAAATGATGAATCATTTAAACTAAGAGTAGGAAGGATTGATTATATTTTTATATGAATAAATATTTTTAACATTTTGCACACATTTAAAAATAATAATACGAGCAATAAAATCAAATATTTATTTAGTAGAATGTGAATCAGTAGTGACTGACAAAGTGAGTAAAAATTCCATTAAACTGTATAGAAATTATCAGAATTTTAAAATTCTTTTCTCGTAGTCATATCACACTCGTAGTTGTCATCACATCAACAGTATTTTTTTTTTTAATTATAGAGGTTTGTGTGTTTCTGACTACAGCTTTAACTACTGCTATTAAGTTTTATAATTATTTATGTGGGAAGTGATTTTAACTGTACATATATTTTTTTCAGATTAATTGAATTTTTTACATTAAAAAACTAATGTAGCATGCATATTGGAAGTGTATGTATAAATACTAGGAACGTTAGTTAGGATAACTTAGATAAAAATGCTTGAATAAACTACTGGTATTTTTGAAATTTAAAGGTTTTTCATTAATTTTGAAAGTCTTTTAAATAAATATATACTTTTCTTAAAGCTGTGATACACGGTTGTCAGATCTTACAACGTTGCACAGTGGTATAGGAAAAAAAAAAGAGGGAAATAATTCGGTAACTTCTAAACGGTTAATCCGATTTTAATGAAATTTGGTATGCACAAAGAGGAGGTGTTGTCGAGTTTAGGTTTTGAATTTGGACCTTATAGGCCAACCAGGGGCCCGGCGGGGGGTCCTCAAATTAGGACACCTCGGCTATGTTAAATTTTTAAAACGATCCTATTTCTTCATTTGAGTTCCGATTTAAAAAAAATTTCGTATATAGAATCTCCTCATCGAGCACTATAAAAAATGTCGTCGTAGCAGTAAATTATCTCTTATAGTTTAGGAGATATTCGCATTTGAATATTAAAATTTTAAAATTTTTACCGTACTTACTTTAGTTTTTTTGATAATAGCAGGTCCAAATATTTCCGATTTTCGCCATTTTTTTTTTATTTGCTTAACAACAAGTTTATATACCAAGCAGTGAAAGAATTATGTAAAAATCATGACTGAGTCCAAAGTTATAGGCATTTAAATTTAAAAAATTAAAAAAAGGCGATTTTTTGTCATTTTTTTGGGAAAAAAGTATCTTTTTCTTTTTAAGTTATCTAAAAAGTTTCTAAGAAGATGTATATAGAATTTATACTTTTTGGAAAGCTGACTTTACATAAAATACGATAAATGAAACAAAACCTAAAAATTTTTGATACCGAGGGGACCAGGTCCATCCAAAAAAACCCTATTTTTTATGGAAAATTAAATTTTGAGCAAAAATTCTAAAATCGCATAGTCGATATCAAATTATAGTGACCTGTTTTATATGACCCAATAAGTTCTTAATCATTTTGTAACGGGTTTCGATAACCCCGCCCCTGGTATGGATATAATAGGCAAAAAACCAAAAAATCCCATTTTTGGGATTTTTTAAAACTTTTTTGGGAATTCCGGGATTTCTAATAAGAAAATTCGAAATTTTTATTTAATTTTGGATTTTGAGTAAAAAAATCTACCTAACTGTAAAATTTCATCAAAAAATATTCATAAATAAAATTTTTATTGCAATTTGAAAAATTTGTATCTTCGCAAAAACTGAATAAAAAACATTTTTTAATTTTTTTTAAAAAAAGTATTCCGCGAATTTTTTAATTTTCAAAAATTATATACAGTTTTGAAAAATAGACAAAATTACCTTTCCATTGATATATAACATGCCTACCTAATGTTTTTTAAGTGACAAATTAATTAGGGAAAACTCAACATCTTTTAGAAAATTTACCTAGCACTATTATTTTCATCCATATACATATGTAACAAATTTAAGAGTTAACCTTATGGATGAAAATAATAGGGGACCTGGTCCCCTCGGTATCAAAAATTTTTAGGTTTTGTTTCATTTATCGTATTTTATGTAAAGTCAGCTTTCCAAAAAGTATAAATTCTATATACATCTTCTTAGAAACTTTTTAGATAACTTAAAAAGAAAAAGATACTTTTTTCCCAAAAAAATGACAAAAAATCGCCTTTTTTTAATTTTTTAAATTTAAATGCCTATAACTTTGGACTCAGTCATGATTTTTACATAATTCTTTCACTGCT